AATGCCGTCTTCTGATACGATGAACGACGCCGTCGTCGGAGAAGACGAGATGATAAGCGTCGTCGGAGATGACGAGATGCCGTCGTCGGAGATGACGAGTTCCGTCGTCGTCGGAGATGCCGGCGACTGATTTCAATTTTTTTTTTTTTAATAATTAATTAGACAAAAGAATAGAGGGACATAATGGTAAATGAGCATATTAAAGAAACCTATTTTTGGGATAATGGGCCTTGGGGGCTATTTTGTGATAGAAACTTGGATTGGGGCTATTTTGGCCTTTTTTCATATGGAAAAGGAATGAACTGGCTCACAAATATTTTTTTTTTTTTGGAATAATCAGGAGGTGATCATGTGGCCGTGGCTATACCTCACTCCGGACCCAGCTTAGCCTAAGACATTATTTTGTGTCCAAAGTAATTCCATATATATATATATACTTCGCTTTATTAATAAGTTATATTCATCTTCTTTGTGTAAGCTGTGTCTCTCTTTACCTCTTCCTTATTCCTTTTTTTCTGAACGAGAAATAACACTCTCTAATCTGGTTAGTTTATCTTATTACTTACTCTTTACACCATATATATTATAACTAGTTTCTTAATAATACAAATATACAGTTGGTGTTGCTATAAAATATTTAGGGCTTTGAAGATATAGAGGTTTCCAATTTTTCAACTTTGGTTGGTTACTAATATAGATTTTAAATTTGTACGTCAGTATTAGCAGATGGAACCAGGGCCGTGCCTGAGCACAAGCCAATCAAGCATTGGCTTGGGGCCTTGAAAAATTATATTACTATTAGGGGCTAATTTTGAACAAAAATAACTAAATAGTTATGTTGGTTATGTAGTTATAAGAACTTAACAAGGTGAAGAGTTTGATTCTCTCCCAAAACATTTTATATTCTCATGGTTTTGGGAGGTCAAATAAATAATTAAGCTTGAGGGCCTAAAATTCTCAGGCACGTCCCTGAATGGAACTTTGCGCGATATGTAAAAAGAAGAGGCAAGAGTGCTCACAAGAGTGTGTGCTAAAACCCTACGGGCCGGCTAACAAATGGCCTGAGAAGTACGCTTGCTTAGTTATGGTGTTTGGCATGAAAAACGTGGTTAGAATTCTCAGTGAGACTGATCCTAGCCAGAGGCAAGCTTGCGTGGACTCGCTTTGTTTCGAGGCAGAAGCACGTATTCGGGACCCAGTTCATGGCTGCGTTGGTATAATTCACCGCCTCCAGCGTCGTCTTCAACAACTTGAACTCAGCTTGAAATTCGCTAAAGAAGAACTGGCCGTGATAAAACATAGACAAAACAATCAGCATCTAGTTCTAAGATCGCTTCTTTAATTGAGGGCATCTAAATAATACTTTTATTGTGTTTTTACTATGGATTTGAATTGCTTGAGTAATATTGCTTCGACCATGACTTTGTTTGGTTTTTTTTTTCTTAATCTCATTATTACTATTTAAGATTTCACATGTTTTTTCTTACTTTTCGGATCCCGTTTTACTTTTCTATATAAGAGTTTGTTATAGCTAGGTTGGATTCTGTTTGAATTTACGAACATATATATTCACATAATGAAAACTATGAAACGATTTAACATTGTTTCCTGACGATTAACTCATACTTAGCCCTTTAAACCTAAGGTTTATACTTGAATTTCATTGAAAGACAAAGACGTATTACACATTTCTTTATACCATGCAAATAGTATTATTCTGATTCATTGAATCTCACATTACTATTTTACTATGGTAATGTCTTTAATGAACAATAACATCTATGAAACTTCAGTAATCAGATCAAAGTATGTTTACTTTGTGGAATCAATTCTCTTCTTAGATTTCCGAAATCGAGAGACCGAACTCCAGCCATCAGTACCAATTTTGCAAGAGTATTTACTCCATAGCCATATAAGAAGAGACTTATTCTTGCCCTTTGCGTGACAATCTTGATGATCAGCTCTAACGTTTCTTCCCATCGAAGAAGAGATTCGAATGGGACTCTTCTCTAAACATTTCATGTAAGCTTCAAGAAAAGGGTCAACGTTTTTCTTCCTAAAACTTGACAAGTTCGATCTCGAGTTAGTAGGCGTGAAAGGAAACACAACAAGAGGACTATGCAACACTTCTTCACTATACTCAGCATGAGGGCATGGAGGCGGCGTAAGCTTGCACTGTAGCTGATCACGGCCACTTTTGTTCTTCCTTCTTGAAATTCCAGGTTTTAGCTCCCATGAGAAGGGAACTTTGGCTTTAGAAGTTTGATCGTACTCATGATTGTTTGGACTAAGCATCGTGTATGACGATTCTTTGCATGTGGTCTATGTTGGTTTCATTTGAAATATTGATGTATTATGTATATGCATAAGATATATATAAAGAAGAACATATTTCGTAAAATTGTGTTTGATGTATGTATATTCACCTAAGTTTTGATTAATATATAGTTGGAATGATAACATCATTAGGAATCTCTTGGCTATATATACAACCTCCTGCTTTATGCATTTGTATTAGTGATCATTTGTCTTTTACGATCTAACGCAATACAATTAAACTGAAAATTAAGCACAATGTTTTGCAAATTTAAAGTATTATATTGTTCGGAATACAAGTTTACTCCTCTATTGACATAGACATCTGCATAGATTTATTAGAAAGGCGAAACTACTCTGCAGAATTATCTCATTAAAAAAAAGTTGACAACAATTGATTTGATCAAACATTATGTTACTCAGTTAATGGGTCAGTAGTACAGTTCACAATAACGTAACATGATGTTACCAACAACAGTTCATAAAAACTGTATAAAAAATAAACAAAAATAGTCAAAACGTGAACCTGCGCGGGCAAAGCCCACATGATTTCTAGTCATGCCCGATAACCACTCCGGCACGTCCACCTTTTGTTAAAAGAGTAAACGTATTAATTAATTGAACTAGTTTTCTGTTCAATTTTGTTTTTCAGAACATGGCAGCATTTCAACGCCTGAATCCTGCAACTGCAGGTAACAGAAGCTCCTACAATCTTTGAACATACATACATTCAAACCATAGATCATGTGAAAGGAACATATGAAATATTAAAATGTCATTGTGTTGTAAATAAGGAAACTGAGTATAGATCACTTTGCTGAAGAATGCTCATCATGAAAATTAAATTATAGTCGTTTATCAACTTCAAATAGTATATGATAAGAAAATATTCATTATTTGTCTATTTGTTTTGTTTCATCTCAAGAAACCCAACAAAGAGTGAACATATCACCCTCGGAGAAAACAAAGTTCCCAAAAGAAACAACATCAGAGACAACACAAACTTAAAAAGAAACAAAAACCAATATAAGTAGAGAGACACTATAGTGATTCTTCCATGGTCAAAATCATCCAGAGAGATTTAAGCAGCGACGACTTTGTCCTTACCGGCATTGTCTCCTCCTTCAAGCTGGCTCAAATTTCCTTTCTCCTTGATAAGCTGAATATGATGATGCTTACAATAAAGCTTCCCCTCGTGAGCTATGTAGTTCGAAGGACTTATCGTGCAGCCTCCATGTGTACACTTGAAACAGCTCCTGTGATACAATGTTCCATTCACCGACACCTTCATAACAAAGCAGTCAATAGATATTTAACAATATAGCAACACTAAAGAATCTATTAATGCTAAAGTTTTCGCTTGTTTGACAATCAAACAGATGAGATTATAATTAAAGAAAGATTGAGATCGATACCTTCTCAATAGGATAGACAGTTTTGTCACAGCCAACGCATTTTTCTCGTGTTCCACCAAACATGTTCGACACTTTGGTCCCAGCAGGTCTCTATTAGAGATTCAACAGATCAAAAGTTTACAAAAAAAAATTCAAGAACCACAAAAACACAATCAAGAAACAGATAAAAGAGTTGTCTGAATATTACCTCTCCCTCCAAAGGTCTGTCTGGTTTCCCAATCTTTGGTGTCCCTATATATACAAATCAAATTACAAGAATCAAAATTTTAGATTCCCTCCTGAGTTTATCACATTTTGATCTGTTTATTACCTTCGAAGCTTTTCTCAAGACTTCCAGTTCTCTTGAAGTTTTGATCGAAATGTGGTCTGCAATAGAGAACTCCTTCAAAGGAGTTGTAATTGCTAAGCTGTTTACATCAAACAAGAACAACAATCAGATTCATCTTATATCTACTAGATCTATACCTCAGGGTTTATCAGAATATAAGAAGGAAAAAGAATTTAAAAAAAAAAAAAAACCTTGAGAGTTCCTTTGCAATGGTGACAACGGAAACAAGCTTTGTGGTAAATCCGGTTATCAGCGGCTAACTTGTCGACTAGGTAAACAGTTTTGTCACAGGCCATGCATTTCTGTGTTGTTCCTGCGAACGCCATTTGTGTGGTTTTGTTTTCTTGTGAGAGGGATCAGACCAAAGAGTTGGAAGAAGAAGATGAGATAGAAAGAAAGAGAGAGTGTGTCAATTATTGTTGCTTGGTTTTTCAATATTGGGACCAGATATATTGAAAACGAACATGTCTGTCTCTCTTCTTTTTGTACCTGTAAAGTAAATTCACTTGTACAAAGTTGGTTAATTTGAAAATTTTATTAATAAAAAATGTGATGACAGAAATTCAAAATTAGAAGAAAGTGTTCCTATTCAAATGCAAAAAAAAAAAAGATACTTATAATTTTAAAACTCGGGAAGTTATCTAATTCAAATTCGAATATTTAGTGGGGGTTTTCTGACAACTCTAGCATTGTTTTTTGTCATTGTCTAATAATCCAATAATCAAGATAGACGGTGAATAAATAAAAATGGAGTAATTGGTATAGAAAAAAGAAGTTCAACGGCCATTTTTTCTCTTTTAATGATTTTTGTCCAAACTTGAAGTAAGCACCACCAGTCAATATTTGTCTCCTAGATATTTTCTACATTAACTCAGTGATTTCAAATCTATCATAGGTAGTTAGGTTATACATGCAATGGCTTGACAAATGACAATGCTTAACATTTACACCATGTATTGTTTCAGTAGTCAATACTCAAGATCATTGTCAATGTTATATTTGTTGAAGTGTCTGTCAAATTAATTTTACTCTCTTGGGTTAAGCTAAGGAGCACCCAGAAAAAGAGGGAAACAACTGGAAAGAATCTCTGTCTGGTTTTAGATAATGATTAAAAGCTGTATTGCTTATGGTGAATTGGTTGGAAATCTGTGAGTATACTATTTAATACTATATGGTGTGTGTGTGTGTGTATCAAAATATCTGAGACATGCTTTACCATAAAGGTTTTTGGTGAGCTGTAATATTTGCATAATTGGTTGTAAGAGAATGAGTGATCATAATGATACCTACCATCTTTGTTTAATCAAACACCTAACCTTATTTTATGAGATTCGTTACTTAAATATACAAACCCTTTATCATTCCATACCGTTTTTAAAGATTTTTGCCCACCCCCTTAGATTATGGGCCTTCCTCTTTTTGCCTGCATGGGCCTACTGTCTCATATTAATTGAAACTTTTGCCTCTTTTATTGGGAATTTGAAAAAAAAACCCAACTTTACACGAATTGCCAAATAAAACATGAATTCGAATCTAACCAAAAAAACACTGTACTTTTTTATTTTATTTGAGAACTTATCATTGATTTGCCATTTTAGCACATTGTGATTTTACAGTGTAGACGCCGTTATTTTGATGTTAAGTGAAACGACGTCGTTTTGTGTGTTTTTAAAACGAAAAATACGTCTATCTCAAAACTCGAGAACTCAAAGCTAAACATCATGGTCTTTCGCCACCGAGCAAACGACACTTCTAATGAATCTCTAACATATTTCTTTTTATTGAGTATCCAAAAAATCTTTAAAAACCTTAAAATTTTAGAAAATTCAAAAAGTTCAATAAAAATTCTGAAAATATTAAAATAAAAAAATTAAATTACAAATAAAATTTATTTTTCGCTAAAACTAATTAAAAACTCATAAACATCTAAAAAATCCAAAAATGCGAAAAAACTAATGATTAAAAAGATGACAAAAAAACTAATGATTAAAATATTTTTTTATAAAAATTAATGTATCTAAGATCATTTGTGTATTTTTATCTTAACTACAATAATAATACGAAAAATATAGTGTGATAAATATAACTTTTGTATATTATCTTGCATGCATTCATTTATATAAGAGTTTTCAAATTATTTTAATTATTAATTTTAATTTTTTGCTTTTGAATTTTTTAGATTTTTTATTTTTATTTTTTTGGAAGTTTTTTTTTATAAATTAAAATATTTGAGATAAAATACAAAAAATGATATTTATCACACTATATGTTTTAGTACAATTTTGGTTTTCTAAAACTACTAAAAATAATTATTGCTAAGATATGATAACAAACGAACATACACCTACATATTTTTTTATTTAATTATTATCTAGTAATGTATAAAAAAAACTTTATATTTTTGTTGTATGTTCATTCAATATCATATTTTAGCAAAACAATTTGTGATAATATCATTTGCTTATTTTATTTTAACTATCCTTTCTATTTTATCTTAAATACATTATTCATACTAAAATCTATAGTGTGATAAATATCATTTTTATTTTATCTTACACACATTAATTTATATAAAAATAGGTTTCAAGTTTTTTAATCATTAAATTTAATTTGTTGCATTTCATTGAATTATTTTAGATTTTTCAAATGTTTAATGTTTTGATTTTTTAAACAAAAAAAAATTATTTGCAGTTTCAATTTAATTTTAATTTTTCAGAATTTTCTTGAATTTTTAAGATTTTTTGGAAGTTTTTTAAAAAATTAAAATTTTCGAAATTTTGTTGATACTCAATAAAAGAAAATATGTTAGAAATTTCCTTAAAAGTGTAGTAGCATAGTGGCAAGAAACCTCGAATTTGTCCATGAGTTCTCATGTTTGACTCACGCGATCGACATGTTTTTATAATAAAAGTAGGCAAAACGACGTTGTTTCATCCCATCTCAAAACGACGTCGTTTTACTTAACGGATCTTAGCAAACGTTGTTCAATCATTCTGTCAAGTTTACTAACAGCATGATTAAAGTTTAAAAGTCAAACATAATTCAGTGTTCTTTTGGCCAGCCAATATATTCGTGTTTGTTTTGGCGATTCATGTAAGTTGGAGTTTTTTTTAGCCGAATTCTCCTCTTTTATTCTGTAATTTTCTCCTATTTTCCTCTAGATGTAACAAATTTCAATTTAGAGACTTAGTGTGACTGTATTTTGGTATTTTTCAGTTCTCAAACGTTATTACCTTTCAATTTATTTAACATGTATTTTGGTGTTCAAATTTTGAGTTGTCCTAGAGCAACAATTTTTTTTTGGGTAAGATTTAGTATAGTTCTTTCACATATGACAAGATGCTGATGCTAGTTTGGTGAACAATCACCACTAACAGAAAAACAATTTAATAATACCTGAATCTGTTTGTTAACCGGTTTGGGCTTTAATTTAAGCCCATATAATAAGACAAGATCATGTAAGCATCACCACTTTCCTCCGAAAGATAACGTACGAACAAGCAAGTAGAGAGTCAACTGTCTGAACGTTGACCAAATCTCTCACTTCCTTCCACGCTTCCACCTTTCTCTCCGGCCAAATCTAACATCTCACTCTTATCGGCGATCATCACCGTTCACCAACTGTTTATAATTCGTCAATACTTTCTCTGGTAAACACTTTTTACATTCTGATCTTAAAATTTTTTTTTTTTTGGCAATCAGTTCTAAAGTTTGCCAAGCTTAAGATTTGATCTTTTCATTTGAGTATTAATGGAACAATTTAATTTAAAAGAAATTTACAGAAACACAGTTTAAATTATAAACTTTATGTTATTTCAAGTAAATTAACTCTTTAATTTTGTGTTCTTAAGGTGTTACTTGTTGTTCTTGTGATCAGCGTTACTAATATGTTAACAACTTTTTCAAGTGATTTGAAAAGAGCTATTATTAAGAATTTAAGGGTTTTGAAGGAATAGTTATTAAAAGTTTAGATTTGTTTTCTTCTGTGTATTAATTTGATTTCTTGATTGGTGAATTGTGATGAAGAAGGAGGATAAAAAAATGGCGACACCAGTAGATCCTCCTAACGGTGTTAGGAACCAAGGGAAGCATTACTTCACCATGTGGCAAAATCTATTCGAGATCGACACCAAATACATTCCAATCAAACCCATTGGCCGTGGTGCATACGGTGTAGTCTGCTCTTCTGTTAACACTGAGAACAACGAGAAAGTTGCTATCAAGAAGATTCATAATGTCTATGAGAATAGGATTTGATGCTTTGAGAACTCTACGGGAGCTCAAGCTTCTACGCCATCTTAGACATGAGAATGTCATTGCTTTGAAAGACGTCATGATGCCAGTTCATAAGAGGAGCTTCAAGGATGTGTATCTTGTTTATGAGCTCATGGATACAGATCTCCACCAGATTATCAAGTCTTCTCAAGTTCTTAGTAATGATCACTGCCAATATTTCTTGTTCCAGGTATGTGATTGGTTTGGATCCTATCAAAATTATCCGAGCGGATCCTATTTCTGGAACCGGAAAAAAAAACCGGAAAAATAAAAATCAAAACGGAACTGAACCAAATCGAGAACTGAATAAGTACCTGAATTTTAATGTTATGGTTTATATACTCATAAATGTTAACTATACTTAGTTTTGACATAATCAAATAATTTTAAAATATTATATTTTTAAAACAAAATTCCCCAAAAAAATTACTAGTATCCGAAACATTTTATATTATCTGAATTATCCCAATTTTTATTCGCAAACTCGTAAAATCTGATATTTAATCCGAAAAAACTCTAATTTCTGATTTTTAACCCAAATTAACTAAAAACTGGAACCAAATCGAAACCGAATAGATTTGATATTATTTCAAATATTAGCTTGTTTCCAATTTTATTATCCGAACCGAACCAAAATAAACCGAACCAAACTTTTTAAATATTCGAAAAGATCCTAAACCTCTAGAACCAAAGAACCGAGCCATAGCCGAACCAGAACCAAACCTGAACCCAATGTCCAAGGCTAGGTTCTAGCTTTGTGTTTGTCTTGCTTTCTGCTTAAGTTTGCTTTGTTATTTTCTGCAGTTGCTTCGAGGGCTCAAGTATATACACTCAGCCAACATCCTCCACAGAGATTTGAAACCAGGTAACCTCCTTGTCAACGCTAACTGTGATTTGAAGATATGTGACTTCGGCCTTGCGCGTACAAGCAACACCAAGGGTCAGTTCATGACTGAATATGTGGTCACTCGCTGGTACAGAGCACCTGAGCTTCTCCTCTGCTGTGACAACTACGGAACATCCATTGATGTTTGGTCCGTTGGTTGCATTTTCGCTGAGCTTCTTGGTAGGAAACCGATATTCCAAGGAACTGAATGTCTAAACCAGCTTAAACTCATTGTCAACATTCTTGGAAGCCAAAGAGACGAAGATCTTGAGTTCATAGATAACCCTAAAGCCAAACGTTACATCAGATCGCTTCCTTATTCACCTGGGATGTCTTTATCTAGGCTTTACCCGGGAGCTCATGTTTTGGCCATTGACCTTCTTCAGAAAATGCTGGTTTTTGATCCGTCTAAGAGGATTAGTGTCACTGAAGCGCTTCAGCATCCTTACATGGCGCCTCTTTATGATCCGAATGCGAACCCTCCGGCTCAAGTTCCTATTGATCTGGATGTTGATGAGGAGTTGGGAGAGGAGATGATAAGAGAGATGATGTGGAATGAGATGCTTCATTACCATCCTCAATCTTCCACATCTGAGCTTCTCTGAGGTCAAGTCTTCTACTGGTAACTAATAGAGACCTTTTGTTACTATATAGTCTTGAGCCTGTCAGACTGTAACATATGTGTACATAGTGTGATCTGTTTCTCTGCTTGTTTGTTTCTTTCAGAACTTTGAACACTCTGATGCAGTTAGATGTTTTGCGTGTTACAAAAGTCTTTCGTTCATGAGACTACGATCTTCTTTCACACTCATTTGATCAAATATGTGAAATAGGATTAGGCCTTTGCACCATACCTAGTTTACCGAATTGAAACCAAACATATACGGATCGGTCTATGTTCAAAGTGTCAGACCAATTAATAAAGTTACCCTCCTAATATCGCATGGGTTGCTTCCTTCTTCTTTTTTTGTCAACACATGATTTGTGTTACTTACTTAATCCACTATTTAGCTAAAATGTCATTTAATCATCAATATTTATTTGAATACAGAATAATATCCACACATACGCTATGCATGAATTTCCTATCTCTTTCAGTCAGAATTAACAATCACTAAAGATAAACACACACATAAAACGATTAAGCCATCATGGAAAATGAAACTCTTATCCCCTTTTCAGTACAAAATTAACACTCACTAATGACAAACACAGAAAAAACGATTTAATCATCATTCAAAAAAAAAAACATTCTTGCTTCGAGCTTTTCTTCAAAAAAAAAAAGAACATGCTTGCTTCTCCCGCAAGAAAGTGACGCCGTAAGCTTAGAGAAAATACAACTAGGATGACGTTTCCTTTTTTGATGGAAACTATTCTATTCGTCCCATGAGAATTATAAATAGTGTAAAAAAATACGTGATCCGATCAATTATCAAATTCAATGAGATCTGGTCAAATCACCCAATCTACATTTGTTTATACTAAAATGATAATCTATAGTTTAAAGACAAGTCTCATTATGATAACTACAAAGCCGTGTCTCTTGTCGGAATACTAAATCTTCTAACAAGTAACAACTCCTCCAGTTATAAAAAAAAAAAAAGTAACGACTCCTCCATAACCGAAAACCTTCAAGCCTCACACACACAAAGAACCAGTCAATATGGTGAGTCCCTTCTCTTCACCGAAGAGATCGAAGAAAGAAAGCAAGAACCCTTATTCAAATCGCGGACTTGACAAGTTTTCTGCACTTCTATCTGATCTCGAGGAGAAGAGACAAAGCATTTACGCAACTAGGCGCGACTCCGATGGGCCTCCTCTCGTTCGGTTTGTGTTCAAAAGCTCCGGAGAATGCGTCCCTGTGATGATCAAAACAAAGAAGATAACCAATAAGAAGAAGGTTGATGGTCAAGAAGATGATCTCAAGATCAAGACCGAGTCAAAAACAAAGGAGGAAGAAGAAAGAAAGGAGACAGAGTCAGAAACTAAGGAGGAGAAACATAGATGTGTATTGAACAAGAATCTTAAGAAGATTTCAAGACCGAAGCGTTTCTTGCCTGTGACGGTGATCTTGGTTTTGATCTTCTTGGCGTTTTTTGGACGAACTGTTTCGATTATGTGCACTTGTATCGTTTGGTATTTGGTTCCAATGATCAAAGAACATAGCAGAAAGAAAGGATCAACGTACAAGACCAAAAGAAAGAAGAAGAAAATGAACGAGAGGATGGCTCGTGATGAAACTGTTATCAAGGAGAAGCTTCTGAATATGGCTGCTCCTGGTAAAACTCGGTGATGATAACTGACATAACCTTTTTTTCTTTTAGTTGTGTTTGAAAGTTCTTTCTTTTATTCGTTTCATCTGACGTTTAACCTTAATTTTTTGTTTTGTTCCTTCTTCTTTGCTTTGTTCTGTAACCCCTCTTCTAGTTCTAATGATATGTAATTATTCAAACGGATGATATTCTTGGTCATGGTCCGTCCATAGGATCTTTAATCTGAATGGGAATTTTTTGGCTTTGGAGGTTTGGTTGCTTGTTGTTTTGGACAACCTGTGCTACGTACCACTTCTTTACTACACCCACGTTTGGTAGTCTCTAGGAACGTATACGATACGGATGGGCTGGGCTGGACCCAGTTGCAATTTAAAGTGTTGAGTTGAAGAAAAACTTACCGAAGTCAGCCCAATATTAATTTGGTTGGGTTGGGTTTAATTAGAGAATGTAGTAACTAATAATAAGTAACCGTGCCCGCATATGCAGGCATAATTTTCTTACGAATATTTATTATTTTTTGTTTTATTAATTTTAAAAAAATATCATAAATTATTTTTCTATAAACCTAAATCAAACATTAAAGTATTTTTATATGAATTTTCATCAATTTCTATATGCTTATTATACTGTTGAAATATATTTATATTTTTTCTTAATATTTAATTTTAAATTTTTTTGTAACTTACATTTTTATTTTTCAAAATAAAAAAATTATTTTCAGATAATTGTACAATATTCTATAAGATATCTTACTTTTTAAATATGCATGAATGTGGATAATTATCCTATTAATTTATAATCAATTAAATAATATAATAACATATAAATTCATATCACTAAGATAAAATTCGTTTTTAACTAATTTATATATAAATATATAAATTCATTAAAAGTATCATTAACTTGAACCATTCCAAATTTTAAATATCTAATATTTAGTTAAATTTAAAAGTATCTTTATATGTTTTTGTTTGATTAATATTTAATTATAAATTGATTTTTATATTTTAATTTTTAAATATTATAATAGAATGATATTATTTTCAAAAGCCAAATCAATTATATATAAAATTAAGATATATAAGCATTATCATGTTGTTAAAATATTATATTCAAATAATAATAACATATATAAAAATTATCTTATTTTTGGTTTTTTATAAATTTATTATATTAATTATTCTCAGTTATCTAAGATAAGAACCTACTAATCTAATATTATTTTCAATTACGTTTTTAATTATAAAATTAGTTATATATAAATTTCATTAAGGGTAATAGAGATATTAACCGCTTTAATTTTTAACGTGAGAGTTCCGTTATGAAAAATTACTTCGCAAATAATAGTATAGATATAATAACATATAAATATATATCACTAAGATAAAATTCGTTTTTAACTAATTTATATATAAATATATAGATTCACTAAAAGTATCATTAACTTGAACCGTTCCAATTTTTAATATATAATATTTAATTATATTTAAAAGTATCTTTATATGTTTTTGTTTGATTAATATTTAATTATAAATTGATTTTTATATTTTAATTTTTAAATATTATAATAGAATGATATTATTTTCAAAAGCCAAATCAATTATATATAAAATTAAGATATAGAAGCATTATCATGTTGTAACAATATTATATTCAAATAATAATAAAATATATAAAATATCTTATTTTTGATTTTTTATAAATTTGTTATATTAATTATTCTAAGTTATCTAAGATAATAATAATTAATATAATAACATATTAATCTAATATTATTTTCAAAATTACGTTTTTAATTATAAAATTAGTTATATATAAATTTCATTAAGGGTAATATAGATATTAAACGCTTTAACTTTAAACGTGAGAGCTTCGTTGTGAAAAATCACTTCTCAAAAATAATAGTATAGATGAATGGCAACAATATATGTTTAGTTTTGTAAGAAACAAAAAGGAGTGTGGATTTAATATTTGAACAGTTCCTCAGCTTTTGCTTGAAACCTTACCAAAGAATCATATGCATTAGTCATGATATAACCCATGAAATAGTGATAATGTTGCGCTGCTAATTTCACAATTATCTAATAAAGTAGACGAATCAAATTCATAATTTGAAATCATTAAGACATATTGTCGTTCTCCTGTGCATTAACAAAGAATGAAGGTTGGATTTTCATCTACTTAATAATATAATAGAGTTATTTCTAAAAATTAGGTTAATAAAGATTAAAATATCTTATTTTATAATTTGGATTTTTAAAACTTGGAAGTGAAAAAATACATGTTGAAGATTATACTCAAAAGAGTTCACAAACCAAAAACTATTTAAGAAACATGCTTTCGAATGGCAACTAAACAAACTAATTAAATGAAAGTATATTGAAGAAAATATAAGTTGTTAACAAGGACCAATAGTTTACCCTAATGGAAAAATCAGCATAAGCTTCAATTTACAATAAATGATTTATTAAAGATGTTTAGATTTGAGCATAAGAGTTTGATAAGATAATAGTAAAATAGCTGATAAGAGAATAAGTTGGTTTGCGTTAGACATGTATAAGAAAAAACGTAGTCATATGAAATGAACAATGAACATTAAGGATAACCAGTGGCATATTAGATAATAAAAAGAAGATGAGCACAAAAAACAATAGGATTGAACAAGATAATATGTGTAACGCAGAGAAAGTGTATTTATTGTACACTGTAACAATTTTGATGAACATATCAATAAAACTCTTGAAAAGTGAAAGAGAAAATACAAGCCAAAAAAGGTTTAATAAGCTAAATCCAAAAGATATCTAAAACCAAAAAAACTCTTAAAGAAACTTGATTTGAAATTTCAAAAAACAAAATTAACAAGATTAAATATGTGTGGAAGAGAAAAAAAGGTGTTAACACAAATCAAGAATTTACACTAATTGAAGAAACATAAGCTTTAATTCCAAATAAGAAGGTTTGTAAGAAATACTTAGATTTTGAAATGAGAGTTTGATATCCAAAAACGGAACAAAATTTAGTTTGATTCAAAAAACAATAATAAATTAGTTGACAAGAGATAGTTTCCTCTATAAATATTAATTATGCTTAGCATGTTTAATAAAAAATTCAGTTAAATGAAGTGAAGCATAGAAAAAATATCAACAATAAGGATACACTAGCTTATAAGATAAAATAAAAAATTATAAGAAATTCGATATAATAACATGTAAGAATCTATATTATAATAGTTGAGTTTCAAGATTCCTCAACGCGCCACATCAGCATTAGGTGGGTCCCACTTTAAAAATGTGAAAAATGTCAAATATATGATTTGAACCCGGGTTATTAAGAAACAAACACTAACATTCATACCACTAAACTACAAGATAACTTGTACATTGATGGCCGAAACTAATATATATTTAGCCGGAAGCCTTTGCATCTATGGCCTCCTTTAAAGTTCGGGTCTGGAAGTGTATTATGAGTTTCATTTTTAATTGGGATTCATCATATTATATGAAGAAAATCCTCAAGTTTACAACAGTTACAAGTTTCCCATATTGTAAACCGTTAATGTTTAAAATGAGTTAAGATTCCTTTCACCATCGTCTCATACATGTCTGAGTTATAGAGCTGCGTCGTGTGTCTGTTCGTAATCTATTTTTTTCACCGGTGAACTTTTCATCTCCCCATCTTACATCGCTTGATCATAAATGTTCCTGATTTGTAGCCTTTCTGTAAATCATATATATATGATTCTCATCTTTGATGAACCCTATGTGCATCTCCACAAAACTTATCTATTCCTCTTAACTTTAACCATCTTCTAGAAAATGTCTCTCTCTCCTTCTCCAGTTCCTAAAACTAGCGTCACCGGTATCCGTCATGCAGCCTTCAAGTCTCTCTGTCATGTTAAAGTAAACATAAGCCATACCAACCAAATTAACATATAGAACCTCAAATCATTCGGTATGGATTTTAGTAAACGAAACTAATAATAATAGAAATAAAGTCATACAACAAATTCAAACCTTCTTATTGCAGGTTTCGAGAACACCGAATCAACAGAAGTTCACTGAGTAAGGAATGCGATGGAGACAACCTTAACTAAGGTGAGCTAATCTCTCTTCTATGTTGCTATAGAAAAACCATAATTTCACAAAATGACACACTAAAAACACAATCAGACCAAGAATCACAAGAGCTTGTCACACTACTGAAGATGACGAGGAGAAACAAAAAGGGCGAGTAAACAATCCAGTTTCAGATCTAAATTGAGACTCAAGACTCATCAAATTTCAAGTTCAATCATTTAAAACCCAGCTACTACATTTTCATTGTGTTCGAATATAATCCTATACGACTAAACTTTTTAATCTACCATTCCCATTTTTAAACTACCACAAAATATTTTTGACAAATATAAAAAAAAAATAACTATCTTAGTCATACATGTATATAATTATACGAAGCCTTAGCATTTATTAAACTACAGTTATATATTTTCAATACATGTCATGGCACATTGAAAACAACAAACTATAGTTCTTTTCGAATAACAAAATTATTTATTCTTCGTTCCCATATTATAGTTGTATAGTAACAAATACCTATATTTGGTTACATATGGTTATTAACTCACTAATAACATTAATATCCAATTAAGTCGTAAAAAATGTAGAAATACGAACACATATAAATTCGTCAAACACTCTTATCTGTAAATAAAAACAGGTCTTTACTCACTATAAATATTGATCTCTAAACATTCCACACAACCCCTTAACAAACATGTTTCATCTTTATTTCTTCAATCCATTAAACTATATTTCTTTGTATAATTTAATAAAATCTTAATTTTTTTTAAATGCTAATTCACTATTTAACAATAATATACTACCAACCTACAAATTAGACAATAACAACATAATAAATCACCCATCCTAGACATAAAAGCACTAATAACACAAATATTCGAGAAAATCATTACTAAAATAATATATGAATATTTCAAAGCATATGAATTTTCACTCATTCATATACCAACTAAATTCAATCAGGTTTTCGGTTAAATCCCAAACAAAAAAAATGTCCAAAAATTGACAAAATCCCATCTATAAAACATTATAACGTATCATTACTGTCTCTGGCTCCGCGCTTGCGCGGAGCTATGAACCTAGTATTAGAAAGTGCATTGGTTTTTTGGTATTGAAATGGTCAAAAAACTAAAGCTCAAACCGAAAAATCCTAATAAATATCGTAATTAATTTTTGAGTAGATACTCAAATTCATGACTATCATTAAAACACTATTTGGTTCTGTGGTTTTCTCATGTGGATTAACAAAAACTGAAGTTTGAATTTTCATCTATTTATCAATAATATAATTTTTTTTTCTCAATTTAGTTGATCAGAATTAAAAAAAATATATTTTATAAATAATAAGAATAATATTTTTTAAAAAAAATTGGTGAATATTAGGTGGATGGGTGGGTCCAAATCTCTAACCATTACAAAACACAGAAGATCCGATTCACTCGAGTTCCCCTCGTTAACATCGAAACATTTCTCCTCAGAGACAAGAAGGTATGAATCTTCTCCATCTTCTTCTTCCATTTTTCACATTGTTGATGAGATTTAACCTTCTGTTTCCTCTGTAAAAACCAGGATCTCCTTCACTTATCCATAAACAATGGACGCCTCAATGATTACTAATCCCAAATCCACTGCCTCCCTTCCCGTAAGTGAAACACACTCTTTCTCTCTGATGAAATCATTACAGAGACATTTGTGTAATGTTTGGTTTTCTGTTTGTTTGTTTGTTTGTTGTAAGTCTCTGTTCCTGGGGAGGTCGGGAGGTAGTATTAGAAGTTCTCAGTGTAATGTCATGATGGGGAAAACCATTACCTTCCCGAGCCAAAAAGCCAAGACTTTGAAGGTTAGCCAGAAGAATGTGAGGAGGTGTAATGGTGGTGGTGCGCTTGGTGCTACTTGCAGCAGTGGGGATAAGATTCTTGTGGCTAATAGAGGTGAAATTGCTGTCCGTGTGATCCGAACTGCTCATGAAATGGGGATTCCTTGTGTTGCTGTTTACTCTACTATTGACAAGGATGCATTGCATGTCAAATTGGCTGATGAGGCTGTTTGTATTGGTGAAGCTCCTAGCAACCAGTCGTAAGTTTTTTTTTTTTTTTTCTCTTCTTATTCTCTTAATATGCAGTGAATAGTGCAGACATAACAACAAATTTTGACCATTTCTTGTGTTCTATGTGTTCCTTGTTAGTACTATTTTGAGTAAAATATAATTTGATTTTCTATTAAACATGTGTAGTATTTTTTTTTTTGTTCCATATGTTTGTATTGGTGAAGCTTTTAGCAACCAGTCGTAAGTTTTGTTCTCTTTTTATTGTCTTAACATGCAGTGAATAGTGCAGACATATCAAATTTTGACCATTTCTTGTGTTCCTTGTTTGTACTATTTTCAGTAATATGTTTGGTTTTCTATTAAACATGTGTATTAGATTTGGTCCATATGCTTGATTACTGGGGAGAGAAAATTTCTCCTTTTCTTAAACTCTGAGATGTGTGCAGGTATTTGTTGATACCAAATGTTTTGTCAGCTGCAATTAGCCGAGGATGCACAATGCTTCATCCTGGATATGGATTCCTTTCAGAGAACGCTCTTTTTGTTGAGATGTGCAGAGAACACAGGATCAACTTTATTGGACCAAATGTAAGTTCTTTAAAACAGTCGCAGAATATGTGAACTTCTTTTTTTTAGAAGCTCTCAACTGTATTTTCTTGAGTGTAATGTTCATTTCTTAATTATGGTTTAGAATAGTAGAAAATAATCATCTGCATCTCTTCCTTGATTTTATACAGCCTGAGAGCATCCGTGTCATGGGTGACAAATCAACTGCCAGGGAGACAATGAAAAATGCAGGTGTCCCAACTGTACCAGGGAGTGATGGACTATTGCAGGTACTATGCTGGATCATCATTTATGTATTTCAAGTTGAGCCACATTAATATATTTCTTGGAACTTTCATGCATTGATATTATTATTACAGAGCACAGAAGAAGGAGTCAAGCTCGCCAATGAGATTGGGTTTCCTGTGATGATCAAGGTAAACTATGGTACCCTGAAGCAGCATTGTGTTTACACTGTTTTTTCGTTTTAGAGATTAGCTTGATTATCACTTAAGATTTGCTTAAATAGGCATCAGCTGAAGCCTTTTTGCTTTCTTTTCGAAAGTTTCTCTGAGTATTGAATCTCACAACTGGTCTATTTCTGGTTTCCAGGCAACAGCTGGTGGTGGTGGACGTGGAATGCGCCTTGCTAATGAACCGTCAGAGTTTGTGAAACTGCTGCAGGTATGAAAAACTGACCCATAAATTGCCAGCATTTGAATTTCAGAAGGATCATTCAAGAAAACAGTTCTACACAGTCATGTCCTACTATATTCTGACATTTGATAGGAATGTATTACAGAATATTAACCCTTACTTAACCTAGAGTGTCATGATCTGCATCATATTTCTTATTTGCTCATGATCAACTTTATATGTATATGAAGATATTGTAATGAAGTACAACTGTACAAGTATAATAATGTTAAAAACCATATTAACTAATATGCTATAAAGATCTGTAAAATATGTTTTTAACAACCATTAGTTTCGCTTAATTTGCTGTTCTACAGCAAGCAAAGAGTGAGGCCGCTGCTGCTTTTGGGAATGATGGAGTTTATTTGGAGAAGTACGTGCAAAATCCCCGGCATATCGAGTTCCAGGTATACAGTTTTCTGCAGAACTGGTTCAAATTATTTGAGGATTTATAAGAAGATAAATAAGTTTTCAGAATTTGTTTAATCCTGATTATAAGAGGTAATTTTCAATGCTCTTACGTCTCATTCAATGGAACCTTTGATATTCTTCGCTTCTTCATAAAAAAAAAGAATGGATTGATTTAAAGAACTTCAACTGTATTTTTCCAGACTTTGACTAAGCACAAATATATTTGAATACTTTGCTATCAAAGTTTCTCATCTACAGCTGTTGGATTTAGATTCTTGCAGATAAATTTGGAAATGTTGTTCACTTCGGTGAGCGTGACTGCAGCATCCAGGTATTATTTTTTTATCTATTGCTTCGTGGTCTAAGAACAAAAAGAAAAACTGACCGCTTAATATCTAGACAGTTTCTCATTACTGATCTTCTTAAATAGCACACCTATGCTTCCAGCTGCCAGATCTGCTAGACTAGTGTTCTCAGTAGTAGTTGCTTAGATGCAAATAAATGAATAACTAAATCTTCTTTTGACTACAGAGACGTAACCAAAAGTTGCTGGAAGAAGCACCTTCTCCTGCACTGACCCCTGAGTTGCGAAAAGCCATGGGTGATGCAGCAGTTGCAGCAGCAGCGTCAATTGGTTACGTTGGTGTTGGTACCGTGGAGTTCCTTTTGGATGAGAGAGGTTCCTTCTATTTCATGGAAATGAATACTAGAATCCAGGTTGGATTAGTATCTTTCTTTATTTATAATTCAATAGAATCTTTCTTATAATCGCTAAGTATCTGAAGCATAATAAATTGCCACCGTTTTTGGTGGATTAAAACATAGGTGGAGCATCCTGTGACAGAGATGATTTACTCCGTTGATTTGATTGAAGAACAGATTCGTGTTGCAATGGGAGAGAAACTGCGTTATACACAGGTATGATATCCTTTGTGAAATGCCAAATAGATGAAGGGTGTGGTAGAAAAGGTCTTCAATTTCTTGATTAATTTTCTCTACAGGATGAGATTGTGCTTAGAGGACACTCTATTGAGTGTCGTATCAATGCAGAGGACCCATTTAAAGGATTCAGACCTGGACCTGGTATGTTTTACCGTTTATATGCAGCATTTACCAACTTTTAGCAAATGACCTCTGATTAAAAACACTGTTTCCGACACAATAACAGGAAGAATAACAGCATATCTGCCATCTGGAGGTCCTTTTGTTAGAATGGATAGTCATGTCTATCCCGACTATGTTGTTCCTCCAAGCTATGATTCTCTTCTTGGAAAGGTATACTACTCTCTGTGTGTGAATATTACATTGAACTGTTTTGTGTTTGTATTTCAGGTTTCTTTGACATTAATGGTCTATCTTTTATCTGTCTTAGCTAATTGTATGGGCTCCAACGAGGGAAAGGGCAATTGAACGGATGAAACGTGCACTGAATGACACTATTATTACAGGTATCCGTGGATAACTTTCTGTATTATGATTTGTTTATGTTTTGCCATTGTTATTCTTTCGTCTGATTTCGCATGCTCTTTTGTTGCACTTCATGAAATGTTTTTAATTCTGTTTCTTGTTTTTCTTTCTTCAGGGGTTCCCACCACCATTGAGTACCACAAACTTATCCTTGAAGTTGAGGTGTGTGAAAGAACTAGCTAGATGTACTTAGTGAATCTTTTTATCATGAAAGTATTGGATTTTATACAATTTAAACGCTGGTAACAGGATTTCAAGAATGGAAAAGTTGATACAGCATTCATCCCTAAGCATGAAGAGGAATTAGCAGAGGTACATACAATTTGTGTAGACCATTTACTCGTCAAATCATCATTTGTCTATATCTTATGGTCAATGCTATGTTTGCAGCCTCAGGAAATTGTCCTCGTGAAAGATTTGACAAATGCAGCTGCTTAGAATTCATCTGCTCTTTACATGAACCAATAATTTTCAGAACGCAGGGGAATCAATCATGCCAATGCCCGCAAAGTCTTCATCCACTTGCCATGATCTCAGCAATAATTGTGTTGTTTTTCTTTAGAGTTTATGGTATTAAGCGATAATTGTTAGTTCTCGGATAGAACTGTGTGAGCACGTCATTACCATTCAAGTATTTCAAGACGGTTTGTTATTATTATTATTTTTTGGTCAAAGACGAAATGTTATTTAACTCTGAAGGTTTCGGCAGGCTTTAAATGTGAGACTTGATATTCAGTGTGTTGGCGATTTATCATGAACCCTATGCTTGTCCGTTTTCACCTTACCTAGTGTGGGATCTCTGTCCTAGGACCTTCCCACTATAATCAGAGGTTTGAAATGGCTTCTCTCTCAAGCTATTTAGCATATACTGTACTTGTACAGTCGCAGTTAAATTACTTTCTTGCATCCATTTTGGGTAACTTAAGCAAGTAATCCTACATTACAATCGCTAGAAAGGTGTCCGCATTGCAGTAATCAAAAATTTCTCTGCACAGAAGAGATGTCTCTGAGAGAAAGTGAAGAGATAGGCTGCTCTCTGATGCGGGATAAGAGGATGGAGGTTTGCTCTGTTGCAATCTCTAGCCTCTCCTTTGACTTCGACGATTCAGAGACAAGTGTTGAAACCAGATTCTGCAGAAACTGAACTCTTTCTCCATGATCATCCGCGTTACTTCTGAAAGTCTTGCTAAAAGAGGTGCTGATCCTGCGCCACCTCAGAGGAAGATACCTGTCCGGGAGCTGGAAACAGTTTCCGGTTGAGAGAACACGAAGTGCGTGCCTGCAGAGAAACCCAGAGAACTCAAACAGTTGGCAACTGCAGCTTATGATGCCTTCTTGAGGAACCCAATACACTTTTCTTCCTCCATCGAGTTTTGTGTGGTGCCTCACGAGATACCCGTCCTCCATCTGGAACGAAGCGTAGTGAGCTGCAAGGACAAGCTGCTCTTGGAGCTTGGAGAACGCGAAAGGAGTGAGGACCGAGGCTGCGTGAGATTCCATTGGAGCACCGGTTTTTAGGCTTATGTTTTGAAGATTCTGCTGCATTGTTTGCTGTTCTGTGGCTTGGTCTTTAAAATCCACAGCAACAGCCACCTGCATACATGGTTGCACCACTAATAAGGAAACAGAAAAGGCCTAAGAGCTTGACCAGCACTGAATATAACATTGCCAGAAGAAGAAGAAAACATACTTGTTCTACAAAGTGAGCTAGGCGGGTTTGTGCGCTCAAAAACCTTTGGATGAAGGCGTTAATGGCTTTGGATCGGCCACTCAAAGTCATTCCAGCTAAAAAATGGCTTCTCAGGTACGGTAAAGACCACAAGGAACGTGAGGCATACAAGTTATTTATGTGCCTGTTTGTGTGCAGTCCAAAAGAGTTCACCATGTCTCTCCAACCCAACTCGAACTCCTCTATGGATTCCAGATGGTAGAGGCGATAGAACTCAGCTTTCCAGTCGTTGTAACGCTCCCCAAGTGCAGCATTAAACCAGGATGGAAACTTTCCAACAACCATCCAAATGCAGAGTGCGTGCTTAGTGGCTGGCATCTCTCTATCTATGGCTTCTTTGAGACACATATTATGGTCTGTTAGTATTGTTTGAGGCGCCTTCCCACTCATGAACCCTGTGAACGCCTTCCATATAAGACAAAGATAAAACAAATGTCAGATAATTATATGGAAAAGCCAAACGTTCTACTCAGAGATAATCACCAAGAGAAGTACCTGTAGTGCCCATGACCAGGATCTCACATTTTCATCACGCAGAAGCACACAGCCGAAGAAGCAAGGCACGCCGTAGTTATTAACTCCAACCCATATCCCAAGTGGCATCTCAACTGCACTTAACCGATGTGTTGTATCAAAAACAACAGCATCTCCAAAGATCTCATATGCCTGAATAGAAGAAGCATATGACCAGGCAATATTTTCCAACTTATCGTTTGCATCCAATGTAAACTCGAACTTAAAGTTAGGATCCTGCTCCTTTATGCTCTGACACATCCTCAGGAAATCAATATTCTCATCCTCAGGATCAAGTTTCTTGAACGACTGAAGCAAATTCCTAACATCCTTCTCAGTAAACGGTAAAAAGCCAGGCTCAACACACTTCTCAAGCTCCATGAGCCTCATCATCTGCTGAACCGTTATCCCCGTCTTAGAAAACATCAGAATCCTGCTTTTATCTGCATCCGATATAGATCTGTAAGCAGGAAGGAAACGAACTTGACTCGGCTCCAGAAGCTCGTGATTATGATGATTAGCAAACCCTGTAACACGCCACTCCACCGAACCTAACTCAGTAACTTTACTAATCCTCAAGTAAGCTTGACACCCACACCGAGAAGACCTTCTGTTCCTCTGTGGCTTCCCTTCACTTAAAGTCTTGACAGGTGTGTTACCAGCGCGATGGCAAACAAAGTAACGCCTAGTAAGTCCTTTCCCAACTCCATCTTTACCTTCTGTCCTGTGACGACGTATAGAGAACCCGCAGCGCTTAGCAAAGGTGCTGTAGAAATCGTAAGCTGCGTCATGTGTGAGGAACCTTTGTCCTATGTATGGAATGACATCGTTAACTGCTTCTAAAGAGAGTCCGTTCCCGTCTGGTGACTCCTCAGTGCTGCTAGCATCGTCTAAAGACAGAGACCGATGGTCAGAGGGATCGTCATAGATGAGTAACATCTGTCCAGCATCATCCGACATCTTTGCTCCTTACCTATATTCAGTTAGGGTCAGCAACAAGGAAGGAACTAAACAGCATTGGGATAACTATTTAAATGAAATGCTACACATAAGATGTTGTAGTATGGTTAACTATTCAGATAAAGCTATCGCCTTTGTGGTGATAAATGACCGAACAGAAGTTATAATAGCCGTTTGGAGAATCAAGTAAGCTAAGAAACTAGTCAATAACATGAACCCTAGGACACATTGATAGCAAGTTTCAATTTTTAACTCGTGAATACAAAATATCTTCACAGAAAGATGAGAACTTTTTAAAGTAAATTAGAGGTTTCGAGTTATCAAGGTGATATTTTGAATGCGGATCTATGGCCATTAGGGAGATGGGTTTCGAGATTGAAACTCGTATGAATCGAAAGCTAATTTCTTTCATCTTTAAAAGCAATAACTGGCGGCAAGAGAATAGACAGAGAAGTTGCAGAGAGAAAGAGAGAGAGAGATGTTACTGATTTAAGAGGAGAGTGACGAACACAGTGTTGCGAAGAGCCCTAATTTGCGCAGGGAGGTGACAACAATCCCTTTGTTTCTCATACGCATCTTGTTATCTTACGCCTTCTCTAACTCGTGTCTCGAATACTATAACACCCATCACCAAACATCCCACTTACTTAAAACTACACCGTATTGTGCTAAACTATATTATCATCTTTTTTAAAATATATATATTTTATTTCTAGTCTCCAAAAAGATTCTATATTCTGAAATTTCTAAAATTCTATATTTAAAGTTTCAAAATGTTTTTCTCTAAAACTTTAAAATTATATATTATGGTTCTTATATTTGTCATAGTTAATGTAAATTCATAAAACATTTATAAATAACAAGCATATATATATATAAATTATAATTAATAAAATTTTAGACTAAAATATAGAAAATTATAAATATAAATACATAATTAAATATTAATAGAAGCAGAATACTACATTCTTGTTGTCTAATTTTAGTTTTAATTTTTTTTTAAATACTAAACTACAAGTAAATATTTTAAATTTTATCAAATATTTTTTTTTGTTTTATGTTAACTTAAATTTATAAAAAAGTGTAGTGTTTAGGATGGGAATGTGGATACTACTTTTATGGAGTATTTGGTTTGAGCAAGGTGAGGAGAAGGAAGGTATGGAGTGTTACAGGTTTTTGTTAGACAAGAAGTTTAGAATGCATCCCACTTACTGGGAGTGGTCACATCCCACGTCAGGACAAGTGGCTAACCCAGCACCGTGGTCAAACTCTGGGAATGGTCATCGTCCTCAACAACAACAGGAGCCAGGGTCTTCCCATGAGTGGCAAGATGGTGAAGAAAAAAAAAAGGTAGTTGAATTGAGCACCTAGCTCGACAGCTTGGCCTATTCATTCTGCCCATCTTCCTTTGCCGTTTTGATTTTTTGGTCCCAGTTTTTGCAAACTCTGATATTTATTTATTAAAGATCAACATCATAATCTAGCACCTTCGTTGTTGATGGACTTGTATTTATGGTTCTCTTGAACTCTCCTAATAAAAAGAGTAATGCAGTTCAATATCAATTTCATTTTTTCAAAAAGAATAGATGTTGGTAATCTGCAACTAGATTAGCCAAAGCTCTGCAGGTCGGCAGAAGCAAAACTCTTACATACAAAAAAGCTCGACCTTTACATTTTTTTATATCTAGAAAACCCCAAATAAAGAAGAGATCATCATAAACCAAAAGAAGTCCTAAGTATATATATCTCGTAGAAGAATCTCTCATCTCATCTCTATAAAAGTAGAAACATGAAGAGAAACAAATCAGCTGGTTTTTCCCCTCAAAACCCCATCACTGTAGAGCTCAAGTTCATAAGAGGAGCCAATGCACTAGGAGCAAACTTCCTAGCAAAAAGAAAGCATAAAGAAGTTGGCTCTTCATTGTAAAGACAATCCGTCTCGTTTTTCCTTATTGACTGTAAAAACCCTTCTGTGATATTATCTGCCGCATATGTAGCTGGATGCGGACCACCTATGGACCAATCCACCCATGTCACGCTTCTATTCGAGTTCGCTGAACCATGAAACATGTTCAAGAACGTTGGGATGTAATGCTCGTCAGGGTAACAAGCTGGTTTGCAGAACTGTTTGAACAGTGAGTAGTATTTTGAGTCAGAGATGATGTAGATGGCGAGTTTGCGGTTTACTTCAAACCACTGAGAGCCTTTACGCCAGTGATGCAGTTTGATGTCTGGGAGCATCTTGCGGCTGTAACGCCCACGGCCGTAACGTGTTGGCTCGTCGTAAGAGTCCACGAAACTGTAGGCAGAGTTTATTAGGTAAGAGTAGACGGTGGAGAAGTTGTAGACAGGGACGCAGCTTTCTGAGAGGAGAACAAAACGCTCGTTTGAGAAGTCGAGTAATGCGTTGGCTAGAAGACGCTTCTCTGCATCGGTTAATAGTGGGGATCCCCATGCAACTTTCTAAGAAATCAAAGCATAGAAGAAACATCAGAACCAAATATTCTTTTATTTGTAATCACAAAGATCTAACATAGAATGACACAAACCATCAATGATCCTCAAAGTTTTGTGAAAGTATGTTAAAGAACAAACCAAGATTTACAAACCAATCTCAGTGTTGTGGAAAAAGAAGCCTTGTGAAATTACCAGGATCAATATACGAGAAAATGAAAGAGATTACTACAACAAGAGAGCAGTATACAGAGAAAATGAAAAAGATTAATACAACAAGAGAGGCTTAAATGAACAAGAGAAGTTCATATTATGTTTTTGTGAGCTAGTAATGTTTCAGTTTCGTGGCTTACAACTAAGCAGTTTTACTCTACGGATCAATTTGTTCCCATCAATGAGCTTAAACCAGCTATGTTTCACATATTACTCTTGAACTTTAAAACTGTGTAACCACCATAAACACACATATAGCCAACACACACTAATGCGCAGAGTAGCCAATCTTCATCCATACACAACCTTGAAAATAGATGTAGAACAATTAAACTTTTTTAACTTAAGCACCCATCAATGATTTCAAATAGTCTCCGAGATATAGAATCACGCGCCAGCGCAACTAGGACTCCTGATGCCTATTAGTTTTCTAGATCTTTATGACTCAGAATGACAATATTTCAACACCCCGGATCTGTTGATTAGCCATGTGCATGACCAAACTATCAGATCCATGTGAATTGTTAAATAGTATGTGTTCCAGCCCAAATATTGTTTTGCCATTTCAGGACCAAAGCACATGACTTTTACCTATATTGTTCAATTTCCCTAAACTCAACCAAGCAGACACCACTACAAATGGTCATGTACTTAATGCAATACTCTGTTCTTGCATTCTAAGTTAAGTCACTGATGAAAAAACAATGTATTTGTTCTGTTCACCATCCACATAACAACACAAAAACATTCACTTTACTGCATCAAACACATACCTGACTCGGGATCTGCCTCTCATAAAACGGAGAATCCCTCGAGACATTCATATCGTAACCAGGAGGCGTATGAACATAAACCGACAAATACCTCTCATTCCCTCTAAAAAACTTCTCCCAAAGCGGAAGCATAGGCAAAGGCCCTCTCGTCAGAAACATAAACGCCACTTTAGGAACCCTATCGTACGGATACTCCTCCTTCACCGGAACCATCGACCCCCTCCAGAACACCTCTTCATCACTCATCCCATGGCTCAGATTCTCCGGCCTCACAAACCCGTCTACGCTCCAGCAATCCTTCACCTTCACCTTCTTATCGTCGTCGTCGTGATTCTCGTCGTCCCCTGTGCAGTCCCGGTGGATGACTGTGCAGTTTGAGTAATCAGGGACGGTCTGTGAGGAGGTGGAGGGCGATGAAAACGACGTCGTGGGCAAGGAGTTGAAGTAGCGATCGATGTGGGAGCTCGCGGCGAGGCCAATGATGATTCCTGCCATGAATATGAGTAGAAACGACAGCGTTTGAGCCAGTTTTAGTAACCCTATGTGTTTTTCTCCTTCCTCTTTCTCACCCACTCTTCCTCTCGCCATGATCAAATTTCTTCTAGAAAAAAACAGAGTGATGATGATTCTTAAAAAAAAAGATAAGAGTTTCAAACTTTCATGGCGGCGACAACATTGTATGCTTGAGAGAGACAAGAATCGGATCTCTTGTGTCGATGACTGAGACAGATCAGATATTGAATTCTCCGCGGAGAAGAAGAGGAAGAAACATAAACAAATCTGGTGTGTTTTGTTTCGTTTTAGTTGAAATCTATGTGTGGTGGATTTTGATATTTTATTAGTGTAAAACAAAACTAAAGTTGAATTTTATAAGGAATTTAATTAGTTTTAATTGTGTTTTAAGGTCCACGTTGAAAACATAATAAAGTTCAAACTCCGCGGATTTTGCCATGTGGGAAGAATCTATAGGCTCTTAAGTTATTGGGCTGGAGGCCCACGTTTGATTGTGACGTGGTTTAGTGCTCGTCATCTCTTTGCTCCGACTTTCTATTTTATACCATTTTTATTGGATTATTTAATTTGAGTGTAACCTTAATACTTTAATAATGTAATAACTAAACATTTATAAACAAACCTATAAAGCTTTGGTCATTATTTACCCAGCCAATCAAATGGCTTTAGAATATGTGTTCTCAGAGAATAAATAAATACAACTGTCCCTCCATTTTGTATGAGCTTTTATACTCTTTTAGAAATTTTGTTTATTTATCTTTTGATTTTACTTAAAAGACTAAGAATGCTTTGATGTAAAATTATCATTGTTCTTATGAAATAATAACAAAACATAGTTTTCTGGTCAAGATATATTGTGGAATACTTAGGTAAAAATATCCTTTTTATAGTGAAAGCATACTGTGTTATATAAAGGTTTTATCACCACCAAACTATCATTCTAGTGTCACCCACGAAGATAACACATATTGGTTGTATAGTAGTTTCAAAAACCTTCCATTTGAATGGTATTGTGAAATTATCATGATTAGCTATGTTTTACTTTCAACCTTCGTCTTAGCTATAGAAAATAATGGGGAAAACATTATCTTAATTAGTTACTGTCAACATTGAAACCCAAAAATAACACAAAACTGGAAGGCAAAAACACCAGACAACATGAATTGTATGTACACGTGATACCTCATCCAGTCATTTGTGATTGTGTGAGAGAAAGAAAGAATGTACAGTCATTCGTTTTAAGGAGAGTCTCGGAGATGTATTGAACTTAGAGTTTGTACTAAAATGACAAATTCATTATTATTCTTTTTTTTTTTGTCACAATTTCATTACTCCATCCGTTTCATATTAAGTGTCGTTGTAGAGAATTTTTTACCTTACAAAATAAGTGTCGTTTTCGGTTTTCAATGCAAAATTTATTAATTTTATTATGTAATTTATTTTTCTATTGGTTAAAATATGGTTAGGTCTATGTGTAATAGTGTTTTTATATAGGAAATATGTAAAATTAATTGTTTTCTTAATCCGTGTGCACAGCTGTAGAGTGACACTTATAATAAAACAAAGGGAGTATTATTCAAACATGAATTTTTAAAATATATTTAAAATTCAATGTTCTTCAATTTGACATTTCATAAAATACTATAAAATTCACTAATTTTAAAAAAGAGTGAAGTTTTCAAAATTTCGAGTGATTTTATAAAGTTTGGGTGTAATTTCTTAGTTAACAAATCAAAACTCAAATATTATGATTTTAGATAATAGTATAAAGTGGTTTAACAAAAATCACTTAAAACTCTAATTCATTAAAGTTATTTCATACTATAGATTGAATACATGACGCTAAAGCTCTTTTATAATGAGAAATACAAAACAATCTACCTGCCTCCACACTAATCAACTGAAGATTATAATATGTTGTAAGTAAATCTAACAAAACCCTTCAATTAAAGAGATTTTTAAAAAAAACTACTCAACTAAAGATTTGATGAAATAAACCTTCAATTTTAGTTTTATTAACGTCTGTTACCGTCTGTCACGATATTTTAGATGGAAGGTGATATACGTTAACTGAACTAAAGTTGATGATTTATTTCATAAAATATTTAGTTGAGGTTTTTTTTTACAGTCTAATTTTTGTTAAGAGGTTTTATTACGAAATGAGATTATATGTTTTAAAATCTTCATTGTCATTTGTGCATTATTTAAGACTCTTACAATTGGTTTAAAATCATTTATAAAATTTTATACATTATTTTATCAATTTATAACTTATTTATAAAGCTTATAAATATTTTAATACTTTTATAAATTATTGATAAGGTTTAATGATGATATTATAAACTATTGTTTGCTATTTGTTAGGATAAACTGTTTTTTTTTGTGATATCGCGAAAATATGAAGTAAATCAATAAAACTTTATAAAGAAAGAAACACACACAGTATTTTTATAGTAATACTGTCAAATATCAAATAATTTAAGATTTCTAAATTATACAAAATTATAGGTAATATTGAGGATAGTTAATTAGTTTAGAAATTCATCCTTCGTACTTAAAGTATGTCAATGGTTTTTTTTTTCATATTTACACTATTTCAATTTGGGTCATGCTTTTTTTTATTGGACAAATAGTGTAGGATTATTTTTCTTGGTTTTCATTTCTAAACCGATATCCTATACTCCTACCATGTTAATCAATAAAACTATATCATTTATTTGGTTTTATTGTTTTATTTATTTACTTCATGTTTTTGTATTATGATGAACAACCATATTTTAATTTCATAAAACCATCATTAAACCTTATTAATAGTTTATAAAAATATTAATATGCTTATAAAGCTTTATAAGTAAGCTATACAATTGATAGAATAATGTATAAAAATTATTGTAAAAGTCTTAAATAATGCATAAACGATAATAAATATTTTAAAATATTTACTCGAATTTAGTAATAAAAATTCCCAACTAAAGATGAATTGTGGAAAACTCTTCAACTAAAAATTTAGTGAAACAAACTCTCAACTTTGGTTCTATTAACGTGTGTCACCCCTCTGTCTAAAATACTGTGACAACAGGTGACAGACATTAATGAAACTAAAATTAATGATTTATTTCATTAAATGTTTAGTTGAGAATTTTATTTAAGATCCATTTTAAATTAAGGGGTTTTATTACTAAAACATGGTAATAATTTTATGAAGTGATATCAACAAGCTTATTTTATTTTTCACACATCAACATTTGGTAAATTTTTATTTTTTTTTGTCAAAGGGGAAAATGTGGTGGAAATTTCTCAAAAGGGAAATAAAAAGAAGCACTCGAGTCGTATGAGATTATTCGTAATAACTGTTTTGAAATCTGAACCTTGTCCCGTGCCTTTTTGATTCTTACGTCGTCTCTCTATAAGGACCTCGTCTCCGCTCTTAAGGAGATCCCCAACGGAGACGGACGACTAATCTGTAACCGCCGGTTACGGTTCTGGTCAGATCTAATCTAGTGACTCCTCTCTTCCTCCAGATCTCTCAATTCGATCTCGATTCGCGATGGAGGCGATCGATGAGTTGTCCCAACTCTCAGATTCGATGAAACAGGCCGCGTCTCTGCTCGCAGACGAAGATCCCGATGAGAAGTCTTCTTCTAGACGCCCATCCACTTTCCTAAACGTTGTAGCCTTAGGGAATGTGGTGAGTTCCTTGCTCCTCGATCTGTTTGTGTGTTATGCTTGTGTTCGTGTTAACATTGGATTCGTTATCGATGTATCTCGAATTTGCCTGAGACGATTTTGATAGCTCATTCATTGTTTAGAGATTCGTCCAGGAGGAATGATGTGTTTGATATTTTTGTTTAAGATCTACTTGTGAGATACTATTCTGATTTGTATTTGATCAACATTCAGTTTCTTAAATTAGTTGTCTAGTTTAAAGATTGAAGAATGAATTGATTCATGGAGATAACAATAACTTAGGTAGTTCGGAAATGAAATATAATCTTGTGGTCAGACCTAAGTGATCTCTCTTTGCTTACTGAACCAGGGAGCTGGAAAGTCTGCAGTTTTGAACAGTCTTATTGGACATCCAGTTCTGGTAAGTGGTACATTGAGTCTTTTGGGAGTTTCTTATGTTTTATTATTGACTCATACCTTTCATTCAAATGATGCTGACGTGTGTTCTGTTTGCTGTGGATAGCCTACGGGTGAGAATGGTGCTACACGAGCTCCTATAATTATTGACTTGAGCAGGGAGGCTTCTTTGAGCAGCAAGGCTATTATCTTGCAAATCGACAACAAATCTCAACAAGTTTCTGCAAGTAAGTCTCCCTCTATCAACATATGTAATTTAGCAGTGGTGTGTGAGGAGGCTCTTTCAGTATAATGTGTTTGATGGATCTTCTCATAATGTTATGGTGGATTTTTTAATAGGTGCTCTGAGACACTCTCTTCAAGATAGACTTAGCAAAGGAGCCTCGGGGAAGAATCGTGATCAAATTTATTTAAACCTTCGTACCAGCACAGGTAAGCCTTTTTTAATTGTTCAATTCTTAGTCACATGCCTATCTAGTCTTAAACTAGCACATTCTCAGCTAATGTAAATTGGGTGATTGAATATACTCTTTTGAACGTGAATAGTTACATATGACCTGCATTGTTTTAGTGTTACATTTTATTTGATCATCATAACATATTACTTTTACCCTTTATATTTCAGCTCCACCACTGAAATTAGTTGACCTGCCTGGACTGGACCAGAGAATTGTGGATGATTCAATGGTGAGCTTTGGACCTATCTACTGCCTTTTCATACCCTTTTACCTAACAACCATGAACATATGATTTAAACAATAGTAATCGGGTTTCCTGCTGTAATTCTAACATAGATTTATTATCATGTTTGTCCTTAACTCTTTATTGAAACTTTGATTGTTTCTGGATGCAAGATTTCTGAATATGCGCAACACAATGATGCCATATTGCTGGTTATAGTCCCTGCTAGCCAGGCCTCCGAAATTTCATCATCTCGAGCCCTGAAGATTGCGAAGGAGCATGATCCAGAGAGTGAGTACATTAGTATTTTCAGTCTGGCTTTCTTTTATTGTTTATATTTTGTTTACTTACCAATGGCTGTTACTTTACTAGGCACTAGGACAGTAGGCATTATTGGGAAAATTGACCAGGCTGCAGAGAACCCGAAAGCCCTCGCAGCTGTTCAGGCTCTTCTCTCAAATCAAGGACCACCAAAAACAACTGACATCCCATGGGTTGCTC